TATGAAAAGGAACTAATGAAACAAATGTGAATTACTTGTGAGAACGTGGTGATGGATGAACTGAATAAATGCCTTGAAATTAGCAAGAAAATTAAGAATTGCTTCTTATATTCAGTGACTCTTCGACACTAGTAGCACCAAATAAAAAAAATAAGGCTGGACTTGGATGCATTAAAAGTTTGTTATGTCTTTTAATCTTCATTTTGTGTCAGATACAACTTTTGATTCTAATCCTGTCTTGGAGTACATACAGAAAACATGGTGGTATTATGTTTGTGAATTATTATGATGACTGATAAATTGTCACGAAGTGGAGTCATTGCAAAAAGTAGCAAAGTATTAACAGGGTATAATGTCAACATGAATTGATAGTAGTCTTCATGTTTTCTAGTTTGGGTAATGTACAATATTATCGTTGTGTGATATTGTTTATTAACGTGCAGACACATTGGTATTCAGACAGCTGTAAGTTGTTCTGTTTCAAGTTTCTGTTGACTGTAATAGTGGAACAGCATGAAGTAAGCTGTGTGAAAAGTATCAACCTTCACATCAGAGTTTGACCTGACAGTGTCCGTGTGAAATGATTTGATACCACAGAAGATCTTAGTTATGCTCAATTGGAAATAAAACACTCCTCTTGGAAACGACTGCCGGTAGATTCAAGGGCCAGTCAAAAGTAGTATTATCTTATATTAGATGGTACTGCTGCATTGGTCGCTGACACACAAGTAGACATCAAAATGAAGCTGTACATCAGAGAAACACATTCCTATTTCTCAACATGGTCACCACCTCACAACCATAGTCATGTTCTTTCTCCTTTTGAGAGCATGTATAACAGATTTCTAAAACACCACTGGCTGCTCATTCTTAATAGCAGTTTTCACTTCCTCGTCAGTTTCATAATGGAGGCCTCTGAATGCTTCTTTCTTGCGTGAACTATCTTACTGAAAATGGGCCACCCCACCCCTGGAAGCTGCTAGCCTCCTGAATGAAGCTACACTGGCTGGGACAGAGATAGGGACAGATGGGGAGATCAGCTGAGTGAAGACCTGAGTACTGTAGGTGTAGCCACAGCCTGGCAGAGGGCACAGGACACTGATATGAGCTGAACCAACTGGAAGGGGCAGACGAGGATGAGTGAGCTGGAAAGTGCTAAATACCTCAGCTTGTTTTAAATGATAGGAATTTCATATTAATGACACATAACAAAAAGGAACGTTTATGAGAATGCTATTTCAAGTGCTGTAACTCCACAAAGCATTTGAAATAATAAAAAAGTTATGGGTACTGGGTTTGAAATTCTAAAATTTGTGGCAAAAGGCAGTTCAGACCAACTCCCTCACCCTACCCAGGTAAAAATGAGTAACTAAATTTATGATAGCCATGGTGACTTTAACAACCCCATTGATTGTTTATGAAGCAAGTTATATAATATAAGGAGATTAAATTCAACAGGCCTTTTGAACCTCCTTCAAGTTGATTTCCATTTTTTCCCTTGACTATGGGAATAATGTCATTATTCGTAGGAACTGCTCTAAAGAACTTTTGTAATTTTCACCATGTTAACTAACTTGCATTACAAGTATAAAGTCATGCGTGATGCCTGAAGAAGCATGGGATCCTAGAAGAAGTTACGAACCCGAGATTCCTGGTCCGGGTACGAGAGTGCGGGTTTCGGTCATGTGACCTGAGGATCACAAGTTCAATCCAAGATGGCGCCGCCACCTCCCCCACCGCCACCGCCGCCTCCTCCACCCGACTCTACCGGCGCTCCTGTACCGCCACCGCCTCCCAGCCAACCCGGAATGGTAAGGCTACGGAGTAGAGAATCTTAGAAGTCTGTTTTGGGTAACCGATCTTCCTTTGAAACGCAAAAACAGCCCAGAAAACAGGTGCGCTCCTTGCGCCCGGATGTAACATGACATGAACTTTTATGTTTACTTAGCCAGTTCCCTTTCATATAACCCCGCTGCAGAACTCAATGTTTATCCAAAATGTTCAAAATCAAATTAGGTTACTTGTCAACAGATTCGAGCTTGAGCTCGTGTTACAGTAGCATGATGAGATTGCTTTCTTTCTTGGAGAACGTCACAGTTCTGCACTCTACTTTTCCTCACAAAAAGTCGTAAGATTATAACGTTACTGGTATAATTTTATGTTATCAACCTATCGTCACATCATGAAACGTTCTATCTATACACATTACATTATATGTACAATTATTTTGTTAAACCCTACATGCTGGACATGCTCCATAATAATCAAACTTGACCTTTGGCATTGTTTTGCCAGAACCTAGTGTTACCCACATAATCTGATTTAGATGCAAATTATTCATTAACAAGTTAACTTTAACAGCTTTTTGATTTTTGCTGTCCACAAGAACACAGGCCACAAAGAACATTTAAGTTTACACCTGCATTCCAGACCAATGGCCCAACAGCCACAGCACCTGGTCAGTCCAATGGCCCAGTGACGGCTGAAGCCAGCATGAATGGGTCAGACCCAACCCCTACTGGACCATCCTGGGAGAGACCCTGGACACTGGACGAGCTTAGGACAGGAAGCACCAACTGGTCACTGGCATCCGATGCAGGTGTATGTATCTTTTCTTCATGTTGTTGTGTAGTTTCTACCTCTAGTACAGTTACGAAGGTTAACAATCATTTGCGGTCATTTTCAACATAACGTGACAGTTTTTTCAAATTGCAGTATTATAATATCAGCAGGACTAGCAAAACCAGGCAAAAATGGCAAAGTTAACCAGGTCCTATAAAACTGACATGCAACAGAAATAAAGATGATTTATGACTCTTATGGAATAAGTAATGTGGCAAATAAAGGTCAACTACTAGTGTTAAAGATCTTAATAGAATTGAGACATTTTACTTGTGTTTCTTTGATACTGTTTTGTATTATATCATTATCAAGATTATATATTTGATATCAGAGTTGTTGATTATTTTGCAGCTTCTGTTGCATCTAAGAGAGTTCTCACAGCGGATGATCTCCAGAACACACGAGATGGGGAAACAAGTAGACGGCCTGATGCATGAGATGAAGGTTTGTCACTTTGTACTTTAACAGTTGGTCTTTAAACCAATACTCTGACATATGTCTTGAAACTTCTAGTTGCTTGAATGTAGACAGTGTCGTGGCTTAAACAATGCAAGGGGAAGGTAGAAACATATGTTGATAGTAAACTTTTGATCCAACTGGTGGATGTCCCATGGTAGATTTATTAAGATGCATTTTTCAGGTCGGCAGACATATGTGACCTAGCAGAATTATGTTAATGAAACTGTTACAATATAAACATGATTTCTTTGCTTTCAGGCCACAGACACCAGGGTCCACAATGTCTTCAACAGCTTCCTAATGCTGGCCAACACTCAGTTTGTAGAAAATGTACATATTTTTAACTTAAACTTAAGTTAAAGGGGGTTTAAAAGCTACATATGAAACCTTTTGGCCACACTGACCTGATTTTCTTGATGACACCCCAAAACTGATGTGAGCAAGTACCAACAAAAGCACGTGTACTGTATGTCCGATACAAGATGATGACCTATCTTTAAATCTAGGCAATTATGATGGTTGTAATAAATGAATACTCTTAACAACGTATAACAAACAATAGATTCTTTCTTCTTTTAATTTATGCAAGTGTCTCATATGTACATGTAGTATCTGTCTTACCTCTCCTGTCTAACGTTAAAGCTGCTAAATGTTTTGGTAGCAAAGTATGATTTGTTAAATGCTGAACAAAAATCTAACGTTGACTTTTCCCTGCAGCGTGTGTATGACGAAGATGTCAGTGAAGACAAAAACAAGAGTGAGAATGAAGAGAAGAAGACAGATCAGGTGTGTGACTGAGTCAGTGACTTCGGAGGTCCATTGCAGGACTAGATTGTTCCAATTTACTTGCATGAAGTTCATGAACCTGCATATACTGATGATAACATTATTTAGAGATGTCACAATGATAGAAAGTGTTGATAGAAAGAAAGTCTTACAACCTTCCAGGAAAAGACCAGAGAGCAGAGAGAAGCTGAGCTGATCCCCAAAGTGGCAGAGGCACTGGGGTACGGACTGAGTGTGATTGACAATGCATTTGAGACCCTCGACATCAAGGCTGGGCAGTCCGACTCTGAAGATGAGGAAACTGGTTACAAAGCAGAACCCATCCTGGAAGCCAAGGTACAGTTGTCATTTAATTTGTATGGATACATTGAACATTAATTTTTGCTAATACATTGTAATAGTAGGTGGTCTGTGTTCCACTGGTTCCCAAAGACATTACTGGTATTAAGACCCTCTTCTTGTTCCTCAGGACCCGTACGTGCACCGCCCCCTCCCCTGTATCATCGGTTCTCAGGCATTCATAGAAGACGATGAGGTCGGACTTGGAGATGTCGCCAGCGAGGGTAATGGTCATTTCATAAATTTTACATTTATTTTAGCTGTGTTGATAGAAGTCATTATAAAACAAGTTTGAACTGTAATTTCAAACACAAGCCTAAATTTTCGACTGTACAACCTTTGTCAAGGAATGGTCAGTTGCTAATATTTATTTGAATAGTGCATTAGACTTCCATTACTGCCAGTAGGTAATGGTTATTTTGTTCCAGATGAAGAGCTTGCCAGTGACCATGGCAGTGTCAGTGAGTCTGAGAGTGAAAAGGACATGTCTGGTTCTGACTCAGAGGTGAGCTGTGCCAACAATCTAAAACCACATCTACATGTAGTTGCTGAAAATCTGCTAACCTGTCTCAGTCCAACATTCCTACATGTAACTCTGGTTACAAAAAAGTTAGTACACGCTTCAGGAACATTATATATATTCTGTTATTTACTGACATTGATAGTTCCAGTTGACAAGACATGTATGCTACATTTACAGTCTTCTGGGTCTGAAGAGGAAGAGAGTGGGTCAGAAGAGGGAGTCAAACATGGAAAGAGCAGGGCAAAAGTAAGTACTATGTAGCAATATAGCGACTTGGCTTTGGATCTAACACACACACCTCCCATCTGATGCTATTACACACTGTTGTCAGGTTAATAAACATGATTAACATAACAATCGTTGCTCTGTTCCTTCTAAAGCCACATTGGCTCTTGGACACCACATTCAGTCTGTGGTTTGTGATGGATTTCAGACTTACTTCTGATTTCTCTTGAATGGCAATATTTGTCACTAATAAATGCATTCCATCCTCAGTTGTACAGTTGATGTTTATCATGACAGTTGTGGTTGATCAGTCCATCATTTTACTCTAATTCTACAGAAGGTTGACAGTGATGAGGAAGAAGGTGAATTATTTGGTGCACCATCAGATGAGGAGGAGTCTGGGGAGGAAGAGGAGGAGGGAGATCAACCTCAGGTAATCCTCAATGGTCACTGTCATTCTGCTCTTATGTCGAAATGTATGGATGCACTTAAGATCCACATCCCAGGTACATGGTAGTGGGAGACAAGTCATATAGTGGATAATAGGGTTTTGACAGTAGAGTTCTGAGTTTACATTGTGCATTACTGAAAAGTTTAAGAATGTTTTTGGTATGTTTTTGGTACAGATTGATTTGGGGCTTTAAGCTTACTTCCGTGAATGCTTCCACGTTCATGAAAATCTTGCAAGTCCCTGACGTGTACCATTGATTGTGTGCCCCATGGCTTGGACTTCCAAATTTTTTTTAAATTTATTCTTCAGTTGAAGAACACTCCTTTTGTCTACATTCAACAAAAGCCATCTTTCTACTCCCTCCCCAACACTTTAACATGTAATTGGAATAACCCAGAGGGATGTAACTTCTACTGGGTTTCCTCCTCCAGAAGGCTGGAGGTTTTGCCGCTGAGCTGGCCTCCAGGATTGGCGGAGCTCCTATACCTCAGCCAGAGTCTGACGAGGACAACTGGGAAGAAGAAAAGAAGACAAAGAAAGGTCAGTGCTACAGTGATACATTTCTCGACTTGTATTGCACAGTGATTGACCGAGTGGCAAGTTGTGTTGTTTTCTAACATTGTGTGTTGATGTTTATGTCCTACAGAGGAGAAGAGGGAGAGGACAGAGTCTACTTCCAGTAAAGGCTCGAAGACAGGGAAAAAGGAGAAGAAGTCAAAGTCAAAGAAGAGAACAAAGACTAAAGAAGGTAAGTGTCATCCTTGCCTTGCACCCTTTCCTGTCACCTGCCACATTTTCTTATATCAACAGAGTTAGACAAAGAATTATATGTAATATAACAAGCATATCTGTACATTTCCATCATTGGTAACCTGTGATCACTTAACTAGATCTGGATAAAAACATCCTGCTTTTGTAAGCAAATGCTAATCTCTAATACTCAATTCTTTTGTTTTTGATTTTCCGTTAATAATTTGTACTTAACTTGTTTTGTTGCAGAAGATGACCTGTTTGGTCCTCCTCCAATGGAAGAGGAAGAGGATTCACCATTTGGTGGGAAGGGACTGTTCAGTGGAGGGGGAGGGCTTTTTGATGACGAGCCTTCGGTATGTCACCAGTCATGTCAGAAATGATGTATGATTAAAGCACTGATGTGATTACCCAGGGGAATTGTTGAGTTTCTGCTGTAATTCAGTTCATATGTTTGTGCCCTAGGGTGGTGGCAAAGGTTTGTTTGATGATGATGCACCAAGTGCAGAGCCAGAGGCAGAACCAGAACCAGAGCCTACTCAGACCAAGAAAGGTACATTTTTGTCAACCTATCAACATTACACTTGTATACTACCCCAGCTTGAATTTTGCCCCTGAATATAATGGCATGGTGTATATTGGTTTGAGTTGGATCAGTGAGTGGATGATTATTAAGCTGATTTGTACATGTAATTGCTGATGATAATTTTGCCACCCCTCAGAGGCCGCCAGAACCAGAAGTGGGAGAAAGTTGCCTGCAGGCGCAGTGTCGTTATTTCAAGGTGCATGCTACAATCAGACAGTCAATCCGCATGCATGTTTCATGCACAGCTTGATTGTTTTCTCCTTTCTACTCACCCTGCAGGTTACATGCTGAATAGGTTCTGTACCAGGTCACCTTTTTCTTAAGTGCACTTAGCATGTTGATTAAGTTTTGAATGTGATATGATTTTTACAGAGCAGTAGAAGTAGAAGTAGTGTGTTGCACTTTGAACACTAAAAAACTATGTTTACTTTCTCGACACATAAGTTGCAGTGTGCTAGTGCTGTGTCTCAGTCTTCTTTTCCTTCACCTGTGTGCTGCTGTCACTAATGTCACATTGATTGATAGCCTTAGGATGCCTACTAATGCTGTTTTGATTCATTGAATGTTTCTACACTAAGGTGGAGATGATGACCTGTTTGCATCTAGTCCTCCTAAGGAGACCAAACAGGTAAGAAGAGATAGAGCTGTTTTCTGTATTTAATTTCCACTCTCTATACTAGGGTGGGAAAGTGCCATAAAATGTGAAGTGATAGGGGTTACTATGATACATTTGTTTTGTTTGTACTATGAATCACAGATGTCATGTTGTTGCCATACAGCTATGCTTCTGAAGGACAGCATTTTCACAAAGTGTAACTCACCACATACAATGTATTTTGGATAACTCAGTAATACTATGTAAATGTTCCCCCAGCCTAGTGTGCCAAAGGCTGCCAGCAGTGGTGGTCTGTTTGAGGCAGAAGATGATGATGAAGACCTCTTCTCAATGGGTGGTGCAACTAAGCCACCTCCTCTCAAGAAAGAAGGTTGGTGACAGTCAATGATAACATTTTATAGTTATCTTCTTGCACCAAGTATTTGTTTAGCTTGGACAAATTCTTCATGAAAATAACAATGATGACAATTTTTACCATTTCCATCTTCTCATGTTGTATTATAATTTATATGTTGTACAATGTTGTATTTCTGTTCTTTTGTCCAGAGTCCAAACCGAAGCCTAAGGCAGGGTTTGACTTGTTTGGTGAGGATGATGAAGAGGAGGAGGGGGAGGGAGGGGGGCTGTTTGGAGGGGCACCAGCTGCCAAGCCTGCTGCACCAGAACAGAAGAAACAGGAGGAAGCGCCCCAGAAAAAGGTATGCTTTGATAACATAAATGTAAATGTTTTTACACAGGTATATACTATGTCTAAACTGTACTTGCTATGACTGAGCCAAGGATCAGTAGTGATGTAGAATGTATTAGTTATTTTCATCCGGTACTGATCACAAGTTTGTGGCTATACCAACAATTTTTTTTGGTCCGTAAAGTCTGAAAATTTTAGCTGCAATGTTTATGTGTGTTGAATGGTTATCATTGTGTGTCTCCTGTGCCCAGCCACACATTTACATAGCTTGCAGTCCATATAATGTTTGTAGTTTTGTGGTGCATATCATCTGAAAACAGGACTTTTTTTTCTACATTTTCCCAGCTGCCACCTGGTGCAGTGTCCATGTTTGGTACGGGAACCAATCCTCTAGCTTCAGCCATTGCTGCCAGGAGGAAATATAGTTCTGACGAAGAAGAGTCAGATAAGGAACAAGAAGAAGAAAAAGTAGAAACACAACAGGAAAAGAAGCCAGAGACATCCAGGCAAGAGGAGGAACCAAAGAAGAGTCTGTTTCAGCCACCTCCCCTTGAAGATCAGGTTCTTGAACTATTCACAATGCATTAACTTGTTATATCATCATGAATGAAAAACAGGCGTGCTCAAGTGAAATTTCTTTCTGTAATCAATTTGACATGTTCTTAGTGAAACAACTTTATTTTGCGTCCCACAAATAGAGGCTGAATCATAAAACTAATGACTTACTGTTCCACTCTCCTGACTAGCCCAAACCCAAGTCTGGCGGGTTGTTTGATGATGATGATGATGATGACCTGTTTGGCAGTGTCCCTGCCAAGAAAGCGTCAGTCAAGTCGCCGGCTGTCACGCAGACTAAGTCCCAGCCTAAGAAGCCTGCAGCCGGGCTGTCGTTGTTTTCAGACGAAGAGGAATCAGGTGATCTGTTCGGTGGTTCTGCTCCAGCGGTAAAGGAACCAGAGAAGAGGCCAGACTCAAAAGAGGTTCGTCTCATGAGCATTTCCAGAACACGAGATATCAAACCTAAAGTTCCACTGCAATACTGTGGAGAGCCACCGGGGGCCCCCCAAATCTTATCACCTTCAGTTTTTGTTATACTCTGCCAACACACCAAATATCCACCAACTTGCTGTTCAGGATGCACACACATACACACACAGCCCTGAAAATATAACCTTTTGACAAAGGTAATAATTGCATACATTCTAAATGTACGTTATCATTATGTCTCTGTAGACTGCAGATACCAAGACTGGAAAGTCCAGTCTGTTTGAGGATGAAGGAGACGACTTGTTTAGTGCTGGTGTCAAAGCAAACAACAGGTACAGGGAATTGCACTTTACCATTTTTTTTGGTCCCAGCAATCAAACTGTATCTTTGACCAAATTAGTTGCAATTTGGAGTTTTACAGCAGGTAAAAAGTAGTGCTGTGTGAAGTAACAAACTTCTGAGTAATGTACATTCAGTGTTCTCTGATACAACATGAAAATTTTATATGTGTATTAACATACCATGCAAATTGTTGATACTAGTACTAAAATGCCTTTAATTTGTACCTTTGTGTACTTAACTTCAAGCTTGCTTTGATTTTAGTCATACTCATTCTTACTAGTAGGAAGAAGCCACCAGGAGGTGTGGACCTTTTTGGAGGGGCTGATGTATTTGGCAGAGATAAAGTAGGAAAGACGGAGGTGGATGAATCAAAAACAGCCCTGCCTAAACCCAAGCAGATCAGCATGTTCGATGAAGATGAGAAAGATGATGATTCAGCTTCCACCAAGGTGTGTTCGAGTTTTAAATGTTTTGTACACAGGACTGAATTAGTGGTGAGGAAATGGCTTGCTTCAAGTTTAAGAATATATTTATTATTATTATATTTATATAATATTACATAGTTTAATCCAGTCCAATTTTTTGTTTCAGAGCCAGGAGTCCTTTGGCAAAGCCTCGCTTGCTTCCAGTGACAGCGGCGGCCGATCCTCAACCACTCCTGCCGAGAAGCCAGCTGGTCCCCTGGGGCTGTTTGGTGATGATGTTGAAGCAGATGGCGGACTCTTCTCCTCACCTGCAGCCAACAAGGACACCAAGGTCAGGTCAAGGGCAGTGACTCAGTTCTTTTGTAGTTTGATAAAAAGAAGTAAATATAATGAGATGGCTGGCTTGAAAGTTCCTCTGTGTTGGTAGAAGTCATTCTGAAACAGGTTTGAATTGTACGGCAATTTCCAACACAAAATAGTAAACATGCCTAAATTTTGGACTGTTTATCACCAGTCTTTGTCAAGCTATGAGAAATCTAGAAATGGTAATTGGAGTGTGAGACACGTGAGTCAGACAGTTCAATGTCGTTGTATTTTGTATGATGTGAACCTTGCATCCAAGCACTTCTAGCCTCTCTTGTTTTATTTACTGGACATTGAATTATGACTATTTTTTGACAGACAAAAAAGCAAGACAAGCCTGCCAAACAGGCGAAGAGTCTGTTTGCTGACGAGGATGTGCTGTTTGGGGGACAGGAGGAGACGCCTGATGTGGACCTCTTCAGCTCCTCAAGCTCGTCCAAGGTATTTTTTTACATTTTGTTCTCTTCAGGAAGCCTTTAGGAGCCTGGGAACATGTCAGGTTAGGTCAGATCTGTCCATTTTTGGGTGAGATATTATTCTAAGAGCATCTGTCATCTCAAGCGGTTCACTGTTTGTGTGCTGACTGATGTATTGCAAGTTTATCAGGGCTTGAGTTACAACATTCATGTGCCACTGTCTGTGTGTAAAATTTGAGATGATACAATGCAGGGTTGATAAACATACTGCATCCCTCCCACCAGCCTGCACCAAAGCATGACCCAGAGGAGAAGCCTGCTGCCCAACCTGCTAAACCTGCCGGGGGAGGCATGTTTGGGGAGGAGGATGAGGAGGAGGACTTTTTCTCCTCAAAACCATCAGCAGAGAAACAGGTAGGGGAGGATGACAAGCCGAGGCCACTTGTTGTTGTGGGTGGAGAAACCACTTTGAGTCAATTTACATTGATATCTGTGTTGCATGTATGTTTACCATATTTTCTTTCTTAAATACACTTTTTTAGAACTTTTTGTGCCCCGGCTCAGATTGGGGTTGCATACTCTATAAGGGTTGTTCACATCAGAAGCACTGCAGAACTTTGCAGGGATCAAAATATGCAATTTGCAAATTATTAGATTGCAGAAAAATGAAATCACTTGCACTTATGCAGGCTATATATAATATATATATATATAGAATACAACACGGGGTATTCCGTATCGCCCGAGGTATCGGCCCGACCGCGGGTCGGATCGGCCTCCGACTCGCGGGAGGGCCGGGACCGAGATGAGCCAAAATGCAAGATGAGCCAAGATGAGCCAAAAGTTGATGCTACTTGTCCCTAAAATGTAACAACATCAATTCCAACGTCCGGAATTGCATTCGAATTTTCGAAAGGGGCACACGCGGTTAGGGCGAAACGCATTCGAATCGTTCTATGGAACATTTGGAAGGGCCGGGCCGTACGCGTTAAGAACCCCCGGGCCGTACCGCTAGTTATCACATGGGCCGGAACACCCGTATCGAACGTAATCGCGGCCCAGGTAGGACATAAATATATATATATACTAGTAGTAGGTATCGGGTAGTAGGAATCATATACTATATTGCAGAAAACAAAACCAAAAAAAATCAGCCCCTGATGTAGGATATTGTGTAACACAGGCTACCACACCTTCTCCTGAGGAGAAGAAGCCAAAGAAACTGGCTGGAGCCGTGTCCATGTTTGGTGGCATCGACCCTGCAGCACTGCTGAAGAAAAAAGTGCCTGCTGAGAAGAAGGAAGCTGCATCTGGTGAGGAACAGTTTGTCTTTGGGTTACAACAGTATCCAAGGATTCAACATATCTTTTCTTAGTTTCACATCAGTTACTACATATTTTACTGTGTTCATGTGTTGACGACCTCTCTATCTTTATCAAGGCAAACTTAACTTAACAAACTAAACTCTGGTCTTATTTCTAATATGGTCCTAACAGACCCACTTCTTGGTGAGCAGCCATCTCCTTCTCCAACTTCTGAAGAGTCTTCACCAGTAGTTCAAGAGGAAAAGGTGAGTACCAGCTGTGGAAAAGGAAGCACATATCTTAATAGTTTCCTGTTGTTTTTCAAAGCAATGATTAGATGTTTCATTTGGCTTGATGTTGTAATGTACATGTACTAACATGGCTTGAAATAGATTTTTCTGCATACTTGCACCTATAACACAAATTATCCACAGAAAAGTCAATGTGTTTAAGTTTGAACTTTAGTTCAAACTAGAAACTGTTTAAAAACATCTACGTAAGGCATTTCAGTAACTATGAGTATAGTAAACAAGTTTAGAAATATTTTCACAGCTCCATTCTTGCCTGTACTAACGTGCATAATTATGGAGGTGCTGTTTCAAGCCCTGAGCAACTATATAGGTGAAAAGTTATATGCAGTTGTGGTGTTTGAAGTGCCATCATCATGTACTGTGGATGTGAAGTGTGTGATATGTCATGGCTTCCTTGGTTCTCCTGCATGTTGTTTGTGCTGCCTGTTGTTCTGCTGTTCAGCCTGTCAAGCCTGAAGGGTTCAAGTCTGTGAAGCCTCCTAAAGGGAGGCAGGCATCCTCGGCTATTGGCAAACTGCAGGTACAGTACATTACAAGACCTTTTTTTTGCTTTATGTTTTTTTAAACCCACGTATGTGTATTTAGGATGTATGTAATACTGCTAGTATATTGAACTTGTGCAACTGTATATTCATGGACTTGGAAGGACCTCAGTCATATAACCTGTATCTTTGTCTAACCCTGACCTCTTCCCTCATGATCTCAATGAAAAGCAGTAAGATGGCTGCTTTGGGCATGTCATGAATAAACAAATTGTTAAGAGTTAAGATGCACATAAAGTTTGGTTTTGTAGTAGTAGTACTAGTAGTCCAGGTTTGTTAGTCATCTAAAGGCACCATGCACTCTTAAAATGTAAACAGAACATTCACAATAGGTACCGGTACTACTGCCAGTGCCCTTTACCCTCAGTACATACTATTATGATATACCTGTTTTTCTGGAGACATTTAATGTAATATTGACAACATTGTATAACGTTATGTGTTTACAGGCCAGTCTTGCCATAAACCCCAGTGCCATGCTGCCAGGTGCAGCCCCACCTGTGAAAGAACCAGAGTCTGTACCTGTCTCCTTTGACCAGCCCATGCAGACAAAGACTCTAGAGAGCTTGAGCAAGGTGACTATTCTAGAGTCTTATCCGGTTCTGGATATGTGAGGACTTATAAACCAGAACAGAACTAGCATGGTTCTAGACAAAGCATAGGTACTGCAACATTCTACTTTCCATTTCTTTACCAGTGGTTTTCTTTAGTATACTGTATGAGCACCACTGGTTGTATGCTTGATACGCATGTTATTTATTCTTGTGCTATTTCCAATAAAAGTTTTGTTACCGTGATGGATGTGTTATTGAATTCTATGCTGCCTTGCAGGATCGTGCCAAAATCCAGACCAAGCGAAGACTGCCGTCCAGGAGAGGTCGAAGGGCAGGCGCAGGTCAGCAGAGGGACAGTACGACATCCCCGGACTCCCCTTCCGACCTCAGCTCTGCCCTCCCGCAACCAACTGGACCTCCAAGCCTGTTTGAAAATGAGGGAGAATCTACTACAGCCAAGGTAAACTAGTTCATATGTGGAGATAGAGATACAATTGAAAGTGCTTTTATATACTACCTCTGTTAGACTGATTACAAGCAGATATGCAGTACCAACACTGTAAAGACTTGACATGATCCCAGAATGTCTGAAACTCTTATTGTGACGGTGCCAAAAGCAGGAAACGATGGATTGCTCTTAAGCAAAATTGATGTCACTAACTAGTAACTATTTCTGAACATGACAGATTATGGACATTCCCTTGTTCTGTAGGACACTCCTGCTGTATCTGTGGGAGGCAGCAAGGATGAGACAGATGACATGGATGACATCTTCGGTAGTTCCAAAAAATTAGCAAAGCCAGCATCGTCAAAAGCCTCGTTAGATGAAGACCTCTTTGGATCAGCCCCGGCAGCAAGTATTACAAAAGGAAGTTTAGAAGGTGACGACTTATTTTCATCAGTCTCAACAAGAACTCCACCACCACTGAGTGCTAACAATACAAGTGCTGAGGCTGACTTGTTTTCAGCGGCCAAAACTCAACCTGTTCAAGAGAAAAAGAGCAGTGACCTGTCAACAGGCAATGATGATGACCTGTTCTCAGCACAGTCCAGTAAATCTACAGGTAAGAAAGCCAGGAAAGGGTAGTGAGTATTGCCCTGAGAAAGGTAGCACCAGGACTACTGAAATTTGCAAGTCTGATCTGTAGTATTCATGCCACAAATCTAGTATGCAATCTCCAACATGTGTTATTACATGCATGTATGAAGCTACAGATGTAGTAATTATTGATTTATTCCATTTTCATTATTTTTGTACAGTCACAGCGCCCAAGAAAACTGGAAAACTGGGAGAGATGCCAGAGGTACTGTAACAGTTATCACTACATGTATTTTTATCATATATATTGAATGACTTAAATTCCCAGTACTGCAGTGACTGTATAATGATATGTGCACCTTACTTAAGGTGTACTTGTATGTGTATGGATCAAATATTTTAGGATATCAAGAATTAATGATTGCACGTGCAAAACTTGAAGACAGCCACATTTGTAAATTGCTTGTCTGATTATGAAATCATGCCAGTCATAATAGTTAATAGGAGGTTACATTTCGTTTGTCCCCAGGATGACATCTTTGCTACTGAAGCAGCCAGCACCAGTACAAAGCCAAAGAAATACAAGGCGGTAACCCCAGAGAGCAGCCTGTTTTCTGATGACACAAACATCTTTGCTGATATTCCTGCTACCAAACCCAAGGAGAAGAAGAAAAAGACAACCAAGGCCACAACCAAGACCAAAGGTCTGTTCAAGGATGAGCTTGTGGGTAAGTACACCTTTCTTTTTAAAGCCTTGAACCAAAAGATTATTCCTTTCCTGATAAATTAATTACTTTCTAACTAGAGTTTGGCAATCTCATCGCTTCATTAAATATTTAGCGCTTTTGTACATTTTCCACAAGTGGCTTCAACATTTACCTACGCATCTGGATGTTTGTTTGTTTTATTTGTTTGTTCGATATATTTTCTTTTCCCAGATGACATATTTGCAGAGGCAGGCAGTAATGTGTCCAAGAAGGCCAAATCCAAGAAAAAGCCAGCAAAGAAGACAGAGCCTCAAGGAGACATCTTTGATGATGATACAACAGATATTTTTGCAGATCCCCTCAATGTGATGAAGAAATAGTAGCAACAGGCTGTGTCAGTTTTATGTTTTAAAAGCATATGTAAATAATTCCTTAGAAATACCAAGTTTGACGAGATAACTTGATAACTTTATACAATTATAAATCATCAACCCTTTTTGTGTCAGCAGATTGTGTCCAATATGGTTAATAAAGAGAGTTTTTGCTCATGACATTGCTATAATAATTTATGCTGCTGGATTTCATTTTTCATTATAATGATAATTACTTATGTGCATGTCATGTCTAATGTTTTCCTCGCAATCATGCTCAATCAAACATGGCTGATTTCTTTTGCATTTATAATACAATATTTTCACATTGAACTTCAAACCTTTGCAATGTTAGCTCTGTTTATACAATCTGGTCATATGATCTGGGTTAAGCCAATGTTACTACCAGTATTTAATACATCAAATCAGGCAATCTCTAATTGTGATTGATATGAACAAAATAAAAGAGCCATGCACTTCATCATGCTAGATGTCATTTGAAGCATTTTTGTGTGAAATGACTTCTACATTGAGCACATTAAAGGGCCACCTGTAGTAGAGAAGTCTGTTGTTAGTCCCAGTATGTTAAGAATTATCAATATGGTACCCAGATGCTGTGTGATTGATGTGTACTGATGTGCAAATTAGACAAGGCCATTTATCTGAAGGTGCTGTTGGTCTTTGAAACTGAAAGCCTAGCATACATGTAACTGACTCCCTGTGGGTTTATGTTCAGCACACCTTTTTTACCCAGGTCAGTAGCAAATAAGAAACATGAAAAAAATGACCCAAATATCTAAAATGTAGCTGTATATGTCATTCACGTTAAGATTTTATTCAGGGGAATATTTTCAGTTTTGCGCCCACAAATACATATCTACACCAAAGGAGTTTGCACAATGTCAGTTGGGGAAGAAGCCGAGTACTGGTAGTAGCTAAGCATCGCTTCAGACGACACCTATCGGTTAGCTTTACAACTGCAAGTTGCATGTCGCATATGTTGGGAATGGGGTAAATTTGTCATTTTAGAGGAGAACGCATGGATATATGTTCATATTGCACCGTGCCAAAAGTAACATAGTATATTATTTGTCAAAACAGATTTGATTTTCATTACCTTTACGTGTGGTTGCGTAATGATTTTCAGTTTTAGCCAAACTGCCACCAATGTTGCTTCATGGGAATTTGAAAAGCTACCTCAGAACGAGGTAACCCACGTTCTTTCTCTTTGCCGATCCGCCATCATGGGTTTCGCCAACGTTTGGTACTCTCATCCCAGAAAGTACGGCCCTGGCTCCAGATACTGGTAAGAACGGCACATTTAGGTACCAAAATGGACACTACATACTAAGGAATCACATGGTATCCGTTTTCTGCAGCCGTTTAGGTGTTAAGTCGATTTATCACCCGCCAAAGATAGAGGCATTTGGGCCGGGGGCGCGCGCCCCAACCGGTTGTCCTCTCATCCTTCCGTAAGATGTGGGAGGGGGGCATTACGCAAAAATTCAGCAAACTATAGTTGGCAAACCGTTCGCAACTGTATTCTTTCACGTGTTTGAAATGGATTTTGTGGTACCAGTCACACTACCAATTGGCGTTAATATTGTGTTTGTGCGGAAAATATGTCTCATAAAAAGATCGTGTGAAAATTTTTATCCAGGCACGCCGTGGACTCGTTTTGTAAGCTGCAAGGTAGAAAAGAAATTATACTAGTAGTCGTGCTTGCTGTTACGCGAAGAAATCAGAATATAATACTCATAGGCCGTACTGGAAGATAATAGTAATGTTTTTGCAATTTGAAAACTTTATCATGTCATGTTTTTGTCTTAATCCACAGCCGGGTGTGCAGTAACCATCATGGTATCATCCGCAAGTACGGCCTGAACATGTGCAGACAGTGCTTCAGGCAGTATGCCAACGACATTGGCTTCAAGAAGGTAAGAAAAATTGATAAATGCGGATATAGAGATGAAAGGAGGGAGTAGGAGATAGAATTCGATATCATAGGGCTAAAAGAACCCAAAACACTTTTCCTTTGGTTTAGAATCCACCCCAGTGCACTTTAAAGTAGCAGTAGCAAGCTGCAGTATACTGGTACTGTCACTGTGTCAGCCATTGTAAAATCTTTACAGAGGACAATGCAGACAGCAGTTGAATTGATTGAGGCAGTTTTTGTTTGTTTTGTATAACAGGTAAATTGCCTTAAGCCAGTCTGAGCCTTTAAGTGTAACTCTCTAGTTTTGTACAGTTAAACCGTAAGGTTTGATCTAATCATGACGGGATAGACCCCTGCTCTTTACTCAGAAATTAGATGGAAGCTTAAATGAAATGTGCCCGAGGTGTGGCTGTCCTCAAAGACAGGGGCCTCTAGCTTGACATCCCATCCGAGAGGATCATGTCTCTAACCAACACTAGTAGTAGGTGTACTTATTTCATCTAATCATCATGTCTGATATAGTGGCTTTCCCAAGGCCAGAAATAACCCAGAACCTTAGATTCTACCTCAAAATCCCTAACCACACAACCAGTTAATACTGCTGGGAGATTAATCACATGTACTTGTATTTCCACAGTTGGACTAAAGCATCCCTAGTTGGACCAGAGATCCATGCTGGAGGAATGGAAGAACTGACTACACCAAAAGACCTGACTGTACTGTGGTGACCTAACAACAACTCATCCCAACAACCATCACAGTCTTAACCAGACAAGATGGAAGTGCAAAAAGCCAGGTTTGCAGAGGAAGACGTCCCTGTAACATCACCAACAAGTCTTTACTGATCATGGACACAAGTCATGTTTCCAACACTTCCATCAGCTGGGTCAAATAAAGCCTGAAAACTTTGAATGAGTATTTTGTGATTTGTTGTACTTTAAAACCTTGTACTTAGTTGTTACCTTGGGTATAAAGGTACGAGTATTGTTTTGGGCATGTTTGACAAGAAAAAAAGAATCCCTACCCACTAGCCTAATTTTTTCAGGACTGAAAACAGAAACACAAGGCATTCCCTACGCCTTGGCTTCTATTATTATTACATGCGATCTATACTTAGGCATACCACTAAAGTAAATGTGAGAAGCATCCCCCTACCCCCACAAACACACACACAAGGAAGACAAGAACAGGTATCATGACCTGCACTCTTTATTTCTTCTTTCAAATATCTTTTCTGCCACGAGTTCAAGCAAAACTATAGCATAATGGCTGTTTTGATTGCTGCCATGAATTTTCCTTACATGTTCTTTAAAAATCTGAATTGTGTTCTATACCATAGAATCTCACACATCAACCACTTGGTGGATATGATATACTAATAGAATTTTCATAATACATTATATGATCACTCTGCTTTGCTCTTAAGGCAACATGTACATCATGCGGTGTAGGGAACACTCCTTGATTCTAACTGTAAAATCCAGGCCTATCGCAGTTATTTCATGTGCCAAAAGATTCTAAAGCTTGTGCTTCTTCCAAGTGTCGTGTAGTCAATTGCCGATAAACTCAAACGCTGCGTCACGTTCTTCGGCAAGCTCCTTCGCGGTGAGGTCCATCTTCTCGCGTGCGAAGGCGTCAATGGATAGCCCGTCGACGATGGTCCACTTCCCGCCGGACAGCTTGACGGGGAAGCTGTAGATCAGCCCCTCGGGGACGCCGTAACTGTTGCCGTCTGAGATCACGCCCATGGACACCCATTCACCCTGCAGAAACAAAGGAACGAACATACTGTAAATACTGTTAAATTCACATATGGACAAACAAAAACATAAAGACTTTTGGATGGTTAATGTACAATACCATCAGAAGGGTATATATTTTGATACTAGTAGTGTTAAAGGTGATACGAAAATGTATTATGGTGTCACAACATTTCGCAAACTGTTCTTACATCTGGTGTGCCCTGAACCCAATCCCTGACGTGGTCACAGATGGCCTTGGCGGCAGACATGGCGCTGGACAACTTGCGGGCTGCTATCACTGCTGCACCTCGCTTCTGCACAGTCTGTAACAAGACATCAGAGATTTCAGACCTCGGGGAAGTGTTTTTGTGAATGTATGGAACTGGAGGAGATTGATGTCATCTAGTTTCTGAACTCTTGCTCATACCCACTGTCATCTTCCCACAATTTTTTGGTACAGGAACGTATGGGTAAGGTACAGGCTCAACTTGTTCAGGTACAAGTACAGGTCCAGGCCTGTCTTGGTTGTCCAGAAGTCGTCATCGTCTAATGATGGACAACCAAGACAGGCCTGGACCTGTACTGTACCTGAATGAGTCAAGCCCATCATCTGTAAGTTGTACATGTAGCAAGTATCTTTTGGGTGTAAATTGTTGTCTTTTATAGGCCAATGTCCTAAACTCTTACAGTGATAAAATCGCCCTTTAGCCAGGCATCGTCATTGACAGCCTCAGTAGCCTTCAGGTCCTTCCCGTCTTTCACCACGACAGCGTGCATGGCGTCAGGAAACTGCGTGGAGGAGTGGTTCCCCCAAATGGTCACGTTCTTCACTGCGCTGGTCGGTACCGAGCACTTCCCCGCAATCTAACCAACAAAATAAAGACCAACGATCTTAATACACTTGTGAAAGAATCTCATAGTCACACAAAGTTTTCACTTTAAGCCCAAATAATAATAGAATATGCTCTACATCATACATCTGTTTTATGATTCAAAGTTGTTAATTAGAAGTCTTGCAGTTGGTACCTGAGACTTGGCCCTGTTCTGGTCCAGCCTGGTGAGGCAGCTGAAGTTCTCCTTCGGGATGGAAGGGGCACACTTCATGGCGATCAGAGCATTGGTGTTGGCCGGGTTGCCCACCACAACAACCTTTAAAAAACAACAAGAAATCAGGGATTTCAGATTATGGGACGTATTTGGGGAGGGTTTGGACCTTCAATCAAAGTACTAGTAACCCCATTTCATATGTCTGACCTTCTGACTTGTCATTCTGCCTGTCAATCTTTCCCCCTGCCCACATGCTGTCAACCTACTCTCAAGTTCACTCCATATCCTGTGATCTTTTGACCTGTCATTTTTCTTTTCTTTCTGTACATTAAGACCTCACTGGGACTCCTTAAAGAAAAAGCTGATACTGACCTTGACAGTCTTCTTGGCGTACTGGTCAAGGGACTTTCCCTGAGACTGGAAGATCTTGGCGTTGGCCTTGAGCAGGTCTTTCCTCTCCATTCCTTCCCTGCGTGGCATGGCTCCAACAAGCATGGCCACGTCAATGTCGGTGAAGGCTTCCCTCTCATCTGCAGTGGCTATGACCTCTGTAGAGATAGGAAATGGTAGTACATAAATGTTGCTGCATTATGGATTATTTTTAGGTACTTGCAGACTTGTAATACGTTTTTGAAGTTTTTCTATTCTTTTGTTAATTTTCTGGTACATGTATTATTAAGGGTAATGTGATTTAAAAAAAAACAAATAAAAACCTTGGAGGATGGGCAAGGCACAGTCCTGGAGTTCCATGACCACTCCTTTCAGCACTTCCATCATGGGTGCGATGTCCAGCAGTGTTAGGATGATAGGCTGATCCTTCCCAAACACATCTCCCTTGGCTACAGAGTACAGGAGGGAGTAGGCAATCTGTCCTGCTGCACCAGTAACACACACACGGAGAGCCTGTATGGGTAGGGAATGGAAATAATGAACAGTCCAGCCTGGAACAGTCATCAGACCATTCTTATTACCTCTGGGTATGGAGGTATTGTTTTCGGTGTGTTTGCTTGTGTCCATATTAGTACATGTAGTTGAAAGCAGGAGAGTGCCAGGAAATTTTTTAAGCGCAGATTGTCAAAGGTCAAAGTCCCTGGGTGTACCCACTTGGGCTGACTGAAGAAGTTTCCTTGAAGTTCATGCTTTGCTTGTGCCAATAAATTCACCGTAGTTCCAAATACTTCACAGAGGTTTGTAATTATGAAACATTTTGGAACATTCATGAACTAGTTGCAGTTACAACAAAGCAAAGCAAAGATATAACTGACAAAATGGGGGATGATCCCAGCTGTTGCTTGTGCAAGCACTGTCTGTGGCTATTGTGATAAATGATAGATTAATGACCAGCTGGGATTGCCCCATTTTGCCTGGAGTGGATACAAAGGGATGACAAACCAGGAGACAAACCATGCAACCTTGTTAGTAATCGTAGTGTTACTAAGTAAAATACACATGTAATCTGTTATACACCACAACATGTTATCAGGAACTCCTTCCTTTGTCAACCAGCAACCAAAGGTTAATGATTTGCTCTGGGTTTTTTATGGACATAACACCTGACCAGTGACCTATAGCCACCTAGTAAACTGCAGAGTGAATGACACCATGGTCAATGGCATTTGGCTATAATATAGAATGGTTAATGACATAAACCCAAAGCTACATGCTGGTAATGCAAGGTTTCCTCATGCTACATCTTTTTCTCACCTTCCCAGGCAACTGGTAGAAAACTTTGTGCATGGTCGCCTGTAAAGCACATGGTGGCAAAAGAAGCTTGACAAAGTTTCACAAAACTAAAAGCTAAAACAAAGGACATGTTGACAGGACTAACAACGTTACATACTTTGTATATAATTAAAAAATGCATAAAAATGCCACACCAAGTAGATACTTACAAAGTAAAGATATTGAACAGCTACATTAAAGGGGCGTTATCTAAGAATAGGACAATGAAGATATTTGAATTTTCTGTCTTTTCTTTACACAGGCAGTAACTGTATTAAAGTTAAAATCAATCGTATAGTATAGCATTGCAGGATATGCTAAAATGAGTATAACTTTAAGAGGTTGTACAAGTCATCCAACATATATCATGAAGCCTTGTACTCGAGACCTCTTCAATTCTGGGACCGAAATCTGCCATATTATGCCGCAAATTCCATGCATGACATGGCATTTTTGTTGGTTGTCAGCGAGGCGCAGCCGTCAAACAGGTCAAACACGTGCGGAAAGGTGTCCAAAAATCTGGGGAGGGGCAGCTATCAACTCCCCCTTGAAATACCACTTGCTTGGAAACATGCATATACTTATAGTAGGAAGCTCAATTGTGAGGAATGTCCATCGTCGTGATTTTCAAGAAAATTCTTAAATTTATTTGTCGACTTTAAACACCTTTCATAAAATTTGGCAGTGTTGGAATGCATGAGCCTGTACACGTAACCTTAGCAGCTAACCTTTACATACTTGCAAATTTCGTCATCTAACGAACGAAAAAGCCATCGCCAATATTACAAACAACACCACTACAGATGCATGAAGTAGCCTGAAATGGAATCATCGCGGTGGATGCACAAAACTCACCATTTTAAGAAAGTTTTGTTTGCTGAACACAAGTAGGTCGTCAACCGGCGCGAACCTTGGACAAGGAGAGACCGAGGGGAGGTCAAGCCTGATCACCACCTATGTCCCAGGGCGAGTTAAAAATTAGTACCATTCGTGTAACGAGATTATCTATTCCTAAGCCGCATAAATAAATTAACCATTGAAATTAGAAAATGAATTGTCATGCCAGAAGTTATCAGTTTCCATGACGAATGATTTTTGTACGTTATGACAGCACTTCCGCGGAATGCTATCTAAAATAGAGTGAGATTTGCCGGATAAGGGGAAAGTAAATGGAAAGTTACAGCTGCAGATTCGTGTTGATAACTTTAGTTGTATGGAAAATATGAAAATATATTTGATATGGTTTTGATTTCAAGATTATTATTATGTCAGGAAGTACGTTTATGTCCTAAAACACTGCGGCGGGAAAATATGAAACAGAATCTGAGTATACGAACTGGAAAACTAATGTTACTAAAATTCACCTTTGACCTACCAGGGACGCCCATCAACACAACTTGTGCAAGTAGTGAGGGCTTTCTTGTGTCAAATAATTTGTGATTTGTTTGGATATTCCTCAAAGTTACTCACTTCTGCTGAACTTCTAGTATGCTAGGTGAGCCATGGTATCCGTTAAATCTGCTCTGGGACTTAAAAATCTTTACAAATACCCTTTTTGTCGAGGCTGATTGATAAGATTTTCGAACTTGTGAAGTTTCTGTTGTCGTTTGGTTTCCTTTTGTAACCTCCTTGCTTGGTTAAAGTTCTGAAGCCAAATAATTTCGTAAAAACGGCTTCCTAAGTCGCCACGGGTACGTTTCGGTAAAGATTATGCATGGTGAGGATTATGAGATACTGTTCTAGATTTACCTAGTCCCTTTTTAACCTTAGACCTTAGCAAAAAATTATATTGTGAAGTTGCAATTTTCCAACCTAAGCAAGTTAGATGTAACAAAAAATCCTGAGTTATGCATTTTTGATGGTAACTACTAAGTAAGGAAAAAAACGTTAGGAACATACATGTTCATGTATTTGTGATGAGTGTTTCAGGTGCTGTTCATTGAGTGTAGCTAGTAGATTCATATGTTATCATACTTATCATCATTTATGTAGTCATCATTATGAATCTATTCATATCTAATTCTATGGGATGCAATCTCTATGACTTTTTCACGTTGACTGCACAGGTTCTTGGCTGAAGGGTTTATGGTGACCTCAACGACACGATAATGGCCAGCTTCCAGTCCGAGCTTCACTATTGGACAATTAAGTACAACATAGCTGCACCAGGTAATAAATCTAATTACTAGTATCTTTGCCACATTTATGTATACTAGAAGCAAATAGTAAGTTCTCTAGCCTGTATACCAGCGTTTGAAGCTTTAGGACACTCCATTGCTTTTATAGGGATGCTATCTGGGACTTATTTCAACTCTGCCTATTGTGAATGGAAAGCCTGTAAGAGTAATACAACTTATATTAGACTGGTCAATCCTGACTATCCATCACAATTACCAGTTCAGCCAATGAGAGAATGGCAATTAGCAGCTCAACCAATGAGGGAGTGGCTGCATGCTCATCAATATTTGCGTTTTTATGTTTTTACTAATTTCATTTTGACGTGTTGATGGGGGTTGGCAGGGCTTTGTATGATTTTTTAACACAAGTATTGTTTTCTTCCTGACAGACTCAGACATTGGTTGTCACTGCTACCATGACAAGGGAGAAACAGGTACTAGTATGACACGTACAGTGTATGTATGTTGACTAGAAAGCCTGCTTTGTTTGTTTGTTCTACAGAACTAGTAAACCACCTTTAGGCCTAGGTGTAACCCTTTTTTAACCACCTTGGCTAATATTTTTACCAGTTTTGTACAATAAGTACAAGCTGTGTACAACCAGGTTGTTTAAGGTTTGATCCAGTCACACCAGGGCAGGCCTTCTATTTTTGATAAGTGTTGTGGATCTTTAACCTGCTCAAGGTGAGGTCTGGCTGTCTGCTAACACTGGACCTCCTGCTTTATGTCTCATATGTACCGGTAACCAAAGCTGCTACTAGGTTCCAATATTTTCCAATAAGTCAATAACTCTAATGACAAGACCAGTCACCACCTTTGTTCTGCGATAATATATTCCATTGATAAATTTGTCTCTTTTGCTTTTGTAGCAAATGGTGATCAGCTGTACTACAGTGAGCATCAACACTACATTGAAAGTAAGTTTCCTTTACATGGATGTAACTTACGTTACATTCTATGTTGTCTGTTAACTAGCTTATAGATTTCATGCTCACCATTATCTAATACATTGTACTTGTGTGGCCTTCATTTTTTCACATTTGGTAGAATCTGACAGTAGGAGGGGTATAAGGTGCCTGTGTAGAAAGTACATAGAAAACATTGTGAGAGGAACAATACAATCATTTTGTTGTACATGTATATATGATGCCTTTGTTTTAAGACCAGGTAAAACCTTTGAAATATTATTACCTTGTAGGCTGTGACATGATCTGGACTCCAAGGAACAAGCGACCAGACAAACTGAGGGACAACTTGAAGGAGTTTGAGGTAGCAATACATTTGTAATGTCTGTATATGTGTGTGTATAACAGAATTCTGTACAGAATCCTACATTTTTTCATGGTCTCAGTATTCTGAACAGAAGTCTACATCTGTGCATGGTTAAAGAATTGTACAGAATTCAGCATCCATGTACAGAATTCTGCAGAACTGACCATGTCCTCTGTGAGCTCTCAATGTTATATGCATAACTCTTATTTATTGTCTTCTACCGGGTATTCATATTCTCAAATAACAATTGGTAAATAATTTTTGGTATCAGTGCTTTCCGTATTTTAAGTGTTTTTCTGAATTTGTAGTGTTGTCAGTTACTTACACATTTCCCTCCATCATGTTAGGAGATATCTGACAAATTTCATATTTCTAAATACTGTGCAATGTACCCGGTAGTGTGGTTTGTCCCAATTTTATGATCACATAGTGACTTTTTTCACACTCAGGAACTTCTTGCCACAAACAAGTGTGTGCTGACAAAATGGAAAGGAAGGCATCAGCTACAGGTCTGTTTTTTGCTTGTTTGTTTGTTTTGCTGTGTTTGTTTTGAATACATGGGTGGGAAAAGTTCCCCCAACACACCACCATTACTTAAACACTTGTACCTTTATTTTCCAGTTGTTCCTGAGCAATGCCTGCTTCGTCACCGTGTTTGTTGCTGCCCACAGCGGTGATGTGGAGAGAATCATCATAGATAAGTCCCTGCAGGCTAAACTGAGTGCAGACACAATAAATGATGGTATCTAAGTTCTAATGCTTGTATGGAATGAAAGTTACTTTGAGTTTGTAGTCTGAAGATGCAGATTTTTTTACATAATTGTGTGAGGAGTAAGATTCCATACATTTGCAAGATTGGCTTTTAGATAAAGGGGGAAAATGCTTCAAAGTTTGATAAGGAAATGTTAATTTTCAAACCAAAAACTTTCTGTCATGAGAATTTCACAAAACACAATACATTTAATCTAGCACTTAAGACTGTACATGTATCTTTTCCATTTGACTCAGCCCTGATCACAGACCACTATCTGGTCTTTGCCTTCCCAACGTTGGCCAAGCTTGCCCTTGTGCAGCTAACCCGGAAACCAGGCACTGGGGAGGTCAGCAGGAGACCGGAAAGGGTCGACAAACTCTCTGCTCTGGACCCAAAGGTAAACTAGTAGTACATTGTACAAGCTTATGATCTAAAAGCTTACTAAAAACACATGACAAATTCTTGGACCTTCAAGATCACTTTTTCCCGCATCTGACCTTTTGACCTGCCTGCTGTCATTCTGCCTGTCAATCTTCTCCCCCACCTACGTACTGTCAACCAACTCTGTCTGGACAAGCATCCACACAAATCCACAGACAAACTAAAACACTTTTTTTACAAATGAGTAACTAACTTTTCATGTATTCTTCCTTTCAGATTAGTTATGTTGATCTCCCTGGACCAACTGGAAGAAGAGTTGAGAGGAGGCTCTCTATGAACACTCTGCAAGATATGGTAAACTTTAGAGACAATATAAAAGAATATTTATCATATACCAATGCCTAAGGCCTGAAACTGTGAACATTTACAGTACGTTAAATCTTTACAAAAAGTGTATCATAAGAATGTAAATGTTGTAGTTGATAGCAGCGCATAGGAAGTCTTACATGTTTTCTTTGTTTCCCTTCCTGGTAGGTGATAGTGTGGTGGCCGACTGCGAGTGAGGAGGTCTGGCCTTGGTCTCCCATGTCATCAGAGAAGGACAGGGCTAACCTGGTCCTACTCAGCTGTAATGGGCAAGTCAACATTAACTTTATTTAGTGGGAACTTGTGATATTAAATTTTATCGATTGTTAGTTGGCGCCTCATTGTAAAGGGGGTCTTCTCATACATGTAAAAGGGATTAGCGTCAAAGAATACCGGTAGTCCATCTGTGTCAAAAGGTCAGACACAGGAAATGGGGTGAACTTGCATTTAAGGTCACAAAAATCCCAAATACTTCCTGGAAACCCCAGTGAAAAGATCAGTCATTTTAATCTACTTGCCAGGTGCTTAGTTTCCTCAAAATATATAATCTTGACTCAAGTGTGTTTCATTCTATCAGGGTGAAGCTTGAGATGCTGTGTTACATCAGGACGGAGTGTGAGCCAATCAGCGCTCACTTCAGTCTGAACCAGCCACACAGGGTCTACACTGTGGAGAAGTCATCAAACGTGGACGGCAAACCCACCGTCGACAGCTGCATATACGAGTGCTCCAAAAACAAGGTGAAAAGAAGTTTATTTATTTTATTTATTTATTTAATCTTCAAAGACACCTGGGTAGCTCCTTCAGCCAATAGCTGATTTCCAAGAGGCCCAGGGGGTACAATAAGTAAAAGATTTAATAATAAGTGTTTATATAATCCAGACTATTCGCTCATTGATTGAGATTTAGCACATCTGTGGAAGGATTGACATCACAGGTGACTATTGCTTTTTCTAAATGTCAATCCCGAGACCAGCCAGACTGTAAGGTTTGAACCACTCACACTGACAAGAATTGTAATAGACTAAGTGTGAAATAGTTCCAGAAGTGTGAAATAGTGAGTGTAAATCTTTGACCAATCCCTGGCCCTTATCACTAATTAAATCACTCAGTAGGACAGCATTATTCACTCTGGAAGTATGTCATCCACAGATCCAGAGAGTTGCGGTTACCACCATCCCCCTAAAGAGTCCCATTGTGGGACAGGGAAGAAACCCAGCAGAAGACAAGTTAGTGTTGTCATGTGAGGACAGGTCCCTGGTGTTGTATGACGACCACAGGAGGGTGACAGAGTGCACCCAGGCCATGTTCCCTGCACCCTTCCTATCCTGGCACCCTTCTGGCTGTGTGTTTGCTATCTCCAACCACAGAGGAGAAGTACAGGTGGGTGCTTTTTGCTATGCAATGTCATGTACTAGTACACAGTAGATGTAGGGTGTTCACTGATAGGAAAGGGATGACTACAAATTGTCAGACACAGAATTAAGCACAGAAAAAAAGAAATCCACCCAAACTCTCAATCCTTCATGGAGGTATGATATCTCAGGCTCGATATCTTTGATCTCTTGTAAATTTATAGACTGATCTCATAGCTTACATCAGAGCTCAACTGATAATCTCCAAGCTGAACTTGTAGATACTGTACATGCAGAGTCAAACTTTTTTAATTACCTTATTGTCTTCCAGGTTTTAGACATGGCCTTGGGAACCATCAACATCCAGTTGTTAGCAGAGGAACCCTTCTTCCCAGCTGACCTTAAACACCACCAATACTTCAGGTAATCCAACTGTTACACAGTCTTACTTGTAAGGTGACAAATCTTAAGAGCATTTTTTAATTTGTACGTCATTTGCTCAGCCTGCAAGGATTCTGTCCCAGGCCAATTATAATACGTCATACACTCTCCTTGTGGCAATAAATTTACAAAAACTCTTTACAGATACTTCCTGGATTTTCCTGGAAATCTCTGACTTGTTGTTGCTATTTGTATTTTCCTCCCAGAAATGCTGCCCAGTTAGGGAGACTGCAGTGGACTCCAGCCACTGCCATGAGCTCCTCCATGGACTGGACAGGCGACTGCTACGACTCGGTTCTTCTGGTGTTTGACAAGTAAGTATATCTCCAATGACCCTTATACATACAATTTTACTCATAATTGGTATTGGCAAACCAAAACATTTGAGCACTGATAGCTAAATATCATACAAGCCAGAGATTTCAGAGTTCTAGGAAATACATGTATTTTAAGTTTTGGTGACCCTCAACCTCACTCTTTTCCGGTGTGTAGCTGTCTTTCTGCCTGTCACTTCTCCCCATCCATGTGTTGTCCAAACAGACACACAACCCACAGCTAAGCCAAAACATCCTATCTTTACTTAGTATGAAATTGTATTATTGTTAAGTGAAAGGAGCTCTGAATAATGTGAATTCTTCCAGGGGGCCGCTGGCACTGTTAAGATTTCACCTTGGAGTCTTCAGCAGAGGAAGACTAGGTGCCCAGGAGCTGATTGCAGAATTTTTGAAATGTGGACAAGTTGATCAGGTATGTCTGATTTCTCTTCACTTGAATCGTAAGCTTGTTGTGCTGAAAAGAAGTTCTGTTGCTTGATCTCTTAGAAAGGGATTTCAGGGACATTTCTTACCTTACAGGGTGTGAACCTCCTTAATGCCTTGAACTGGAACACTGCTGGGGACACGTGTCTCACCTGCCTCAACATGGTCTTCCACCACCTCATGAAGCAGAAACTCAACGCAGAGAGGGAAGGTACGTATCACTGTCACAGCTGATCAATGAAAGGAGAAAGAAATTTCCTTTTAATTTACTCACAGCACAGGTTTTGTATAGAAGAATGTCCCCCACCATTTTAAGTCAAAACCCTGCAAAATGGTGTCAGAAGTGGGATTTGAATGTGCACAAGATGGTGTCAGAAGTGGGATTTGAATGACCAGTGTTGGTATTTTTTGTTAATGTTTAGCCCAGCTGGAGATGTGCCTGGGCAGTTTCTATGCCCCGACGCGACCGCTGTCTGAGGTGACTGTCCTAGAGTACAGGGACCCCATCAGTAGACTAGCACGGAGGTTTTTCCACCATCTTCTCAGGTATACTTCCTATAAATTTAGAAATTTTGATTGAAAAGAAGTAATATACAGTATACGTTCATTTAGTTTCACAGTGGTTTTATTTTAGGGACAGAGGGTAATGGAGGTGTTTTTAATTCACAGCTTAAAAAACCTGTATTAGAGTTGTTATACAAAACATCCTGGAAGTCTGTGAATTTGAAAGTCTCAAAAACTATAATACGTACTGGAAGTCTGAAATCTGGAATTAGAATTACAGTTGAATAATTTTGTGTGTGTAACAGGTACCAGAGGTTTGAAAAGGCATTTCTTCTTGCTGTGGACATTGGAGCAAGGGACCTTTTTATGGTAAGAATACATGTATTCATCATCATAGTTTACTTTCATTGTACTGTACAGTTGTAGTTTCACTAAAACTGTTCTCTAAATCTGCAAAATTATAAGAAGAATGCCTCTGACATATGTTTCTTTTCTTCAAATGTGCTGTAGGATATTCACTATTTGGCATTAGACAATGGAGAAACTGCTCTTGCAGGAGTAGCCAGGAAGAAGGCTGAGGAGATAGAACTGGAGTCAGTCACAACAGGTAAGGAAGATGGATTTTACTTTGGAACTTTTGAAACCTACATCTTACAGTCCTGTGAATTCAATACTTGCTTGGAGCTTGAAAGTTCATCTGTGTTGGTAGTGGTCATTCTGAAACAGCATGTAACTTGCAAGTTCATCTGTGTTGGCATTAGCCATTCTGAAACAGTCCAGTCTTGTACAGCATGTACTTACTGTACAAAACGGGTGTGTTACACCTAAATGTGGTTTACAGGTTATGCGAAACAGATTTAAAAAATCCTGTTCTTTTCACAGATCCGCCCAATGAAGGGTTCGAAGAGGGCGACATAAGTGAGGGGTTTAGGGAAGACCAAGTGGACAACATGCAGAACGGTCATGGAGCAGAGGGGGATGAGGTAGTCAGACTTTCTTGAATCTTCATATTGTTAAACGTTAATAAAGTGTGACCGATTTATATCCTTGCTTCTTAGTTAAAAGTTACAACCCCTTTCCACTAGAGGCTGCAACAGATCATCAAATTTATTATATCCTCACTGAAATCCTATGGCAAAAAAATAATACTTTTACAAAATCTGACTACTGAGCATGAAAAGTAATGCAGATGTGTGTCTTGACTGATGGGGAATTGATGTTTTGTGAGTTCCAGGGACGGAGATACTTGTCCCCTGCACAGAGAAGGATGCCGCAACACAAGGACAGGCCAGAAGAGCAGGATACCATCAGCCAGGCGTAAGTGTCAGATACACTCTCACACTGTCATACCACAGTACCAAATGGCTCAGTCACATATGTCGTGCAATCGTTGCAAGCTGAGGGCACTCTTGGGATAGTCATGTGTCCTGCAAAATTCTTCTGACTTGCTATAAAAAAGGCTTTCATAGATTTTGTAAAGGATCTATGGTTTGGTTAGGTTTGTGCACTTTCAGCCTTTTAGACTGCAAGGTTTCTGTCCTAGGCACAAAATAAACGCTAAATAATAATAATAAACAATGAATACTTCCTCAAGTTTTGAAATCTCTAATTTCTTGTTGTGATTGGCAGAAATCTGTGACTTGTTAGCACCATGTGTTTGTGCTTAGATTCTTATTTTTTGTTGATGTGTGTGGTCACTCATGTTTAGGACTGATATTAGTGAGTACCCCTACCCTGAGGAGGAGGGAGGATTGACAGCAGAGATGTACAGAGAAGCACTGCTGGAGGATCCAACGTCATGGCCTCCGGAAAACATAGCAGAAGGTGCGTCATAGTGTTTCAAATTGTAAATACTCATGTAGTTCATACAATTTTTTTCACAGGTAAAAAGGGCAAAGAGGTTTTGCTGCAGTATTTTAGATTCAGTTTTTTATTAGCAGCAAAACATCAGGAAAGCTAACTTGTAAGTTCATTTACACATACATGTACCACATGCTTGCTCAGTCATGAATTCGACAAGACAGTGTTCTTTTGGGTATATGGTCTGTTTTGTTTCTTGATGAATCTTTATGAATGTATTATCATGAAACACAAAACAGTTAGACCTCCATGCCAAGACAGGGATTTGATGGTGACAGCAGCTTACTTCAATCTGTTTTCCTACAGTTAGACTGGCCAGTGCTAAAACTATATTTTGTCATATACAGATGTACATGCATCTAGTCTATTTATCATATGTATGTATTTTGCAGTATGTTTATAATAGATTTACTATCTTTTTGTCACAGGAGGGTCTGATGAAGAGGAAGATGATGTTGACAAGACAGCCAGCACTCTGAGGTCATCCATTTTGGATTGGTCTGAACGTCTGAACTTCATAATGTTTATTTGTAAATACAGAAATTTTTAGTATCTAGGACTCAGGCAAGAAAACATTGACACTACAAGCACAAGACTATAATGTATTGTAATGTTTTGCAAGACTTAGTCCAGTTACACACTTTGATTTAACCTTCTTGCTCTATCTGGCCTGGGGTAGACACTGTTATACATGTACATGGTACCAGTATCAAACTGCTTTTTCTTGATAGAAAAGAAAAAAACAAACTGGAAAAATCAGTGTACCAGATACATAATGTGTGGATGTGAATTGAAAATATGAAACAATAATTACAACACAGAGTTCTTGCTTTATCTGTTTAATTTTCAATTATTCCACTTAGCCAGAGCTAATCTATCAACTTCACGGTAATTATGGTAGGTTATATTATTATTTTGTAATCTTTCTAGCTTTGGATAAAATAAGATCTTGATTTCTTCCATTGCACAATATCATATATCAACATTTACTGATATGAGTGAAATATGTTATGATACCTACATTGTATCAGTGTACATGTGTGTAGTACTATAGAGTATTTACTATATATATACATAGTATTACTGTTGTAAAAATATCTTGATAATAAACTCTACAAGTGAGTACACCACTGTTTGTCCTGTTAATGCCAGCTGCCTGTTCAAGTGAAAAAAAAATACTAGACTAATAAGATTCAGAAAAAAAAAAGATATGTTTTCTTCATAATGCTTCACTATCTTTACACTCACATATATAGAAGTATTGGCCACCGTACTGTTTGGTTAAACCTGCAAGGTCAATCTAAGTTTGTACATATTGGCTACAGTTACATCATACACATGCACAATGCAGCCTTCCAGGGTCAAACAATCAATAAGGTGGCTGTAACATATACCAATCCCATAGCCCCACCCACCTCTGTGAAAACATAAGTGCAAATATTTAAGGGACATAAAGCCTCTCTCTAATTGGTCACAAAGCTAACTGCCATGCTATCATTGGTTGATCTGCTAATTGTGATGGACAGTCGGGATTGGTTTATTCCCTATGATGTCTATGTTTCTTACTACATTGTACTTGACTTTTATAAAGATGATAGAACTGTCAGATTTTTGTACCAACTTTCTGCCTTTTAATACTGTCAGTGAATAGATATGTCAGGTAACTTAAAAGTTCTATTTTGGGACACACAATATAGCTAGTATAGGTAGTACATGTAACATTCATAATTAAAATCAATCTTGTACATACAATGTACATTTACCTTCGGAGTAAGATTTGTTTGCATAGCTCTCTATGTTTGCATGAAAGTTTTCTAACATACTGTAAGGCTACACAATTTGATTTGTTGGTTCTCAGAGTTTTAGAGAAAGTCAATGAAGCAGGGAGAAAAATCAGGTGCCAGGAAGTTAGGTCCAAGAAAGCTGACTGGGACTCTGGAGCCAGCAGGACGTTGGCTGATAGTCTGTTGGCCGGGTGCCAGGGGGAAAATGCATAGACATGAAATATAATCACAATAACGAATGAAACATGACATTCACAAAAACATTAAATTCTTCATGGTGGTATGTGTCTCCTCTACAGTTTGGAGAAAATAAGAAGGAAGATTCTGACAACCAAGTAATCAAATTGGTATAACCTGGACATATTTTTTCTATATGAAAATGTATTCTATACTACTACTAGTATACACGTGTGCTAACATCTTAACTAAACAAATTGCTGTAGAATCTACACCTACATGTATATGTTGCCCTTGCATGTAGCAAAGACTATTGCACATACACACCAGGTAACAGTGGTAATGTTAAGGAATCGTAGCAGACTTTGTTTACTCATTGGATGTATTTCTAATGCTGCAGTTTTTTCAGCCCTGCTGTACTGATTACCTATTCACGTATGCGCGTGGTTGGGCCTCAAAATTGCATTTTCTATGTATAGAGTGTCTCTTTAAAATTTAGGATAGTTGATGAATTCTGATAATTCCAATGTGAACTGTGTGTAAACTTGCATCTTCTCACATGGATGCATCTGTCTTCGATGTTATTCCATTCCTGCCTGCTGGTTTTTGGTCATTTTCCCCCACAGTCTCCAGCCCCATTGCTTCACTGAAGTGTTGGAAACTCATCCCTCTCCCGTCCACATCCAGACTGTCCTCCACCATTTCAAACAAGTGATAGTGTGGCCCCGACCTCCGTGCAAGGTCGAACGCGCTTTCTGACGAGTCATTCAGGATGTTTGGATCGATGTACCGGTTGCTAAGTAACAGGACGAGGGCCTGCTTGGCATTTGCGTTGCTGGCTGCCACATGTAGGGGTGTGTTCCCACCACTACTTGTGGCATTGACGTCCGCCCCTGCCTGGAGAAGCAGGGACGCCACGTCCACGTGGTTCCATCGGCACGCAGAATGCAGGGGCTGCCAGCCGTCGTGGGTCTTTGCGTTGATGTCGGCCCCCCTCTCCAACAGCTCCTTTACGAGCGTCATGTCGCCCATGTATGCTGCCTTGTGGAGCAGTATGTACCCGTCGCTGTCTGCAGCCGTTAACAACTTTGGTTCTGCATCCAGCAGCTCCACTACAGTGTCGTAGTTCCTCGCCTCTGATTCACGGATCACTCTCTTGCGCAGGTGCTCCAAGTCTCCCACGTCCTCGCCTGTACTGTCGTCCGACTCCTCGCTGCTGGACGAAGCCCACACGCTCTTCCACTTGTTTTCTGGGATGGAGCTCGGGAGCTTGTCCAACTCCGCGGCGAAGCCTGTCGGCTGTCCTCGTTCCTGCTCGTTGTCGGATTCGTCCGCGTCATCCCCGCTAGATATATCAGGCTCGTACCCCTCTTCTGGGTCTTCCTGGTACATCTTGACGCTACGTACCTTCCCACGGATGCGGTTGGTCGACTCTTCATCAGAGCAGTTGGAGTCTGGCTGAGCTCTAGGCACAGACGCCTTTGCCCCTACAGGAGGAGACTCTTCCCCACTCATCCTAACTGACCTTGTCCATACCTTTGTGTGAGGATGTTACAAAGCAGTATGGCATGGATGGCAAGACAGAACCTTCTGAAAAAGAAACAATGCACGACACATTATACTGTACTCAATTAAACTGTACTATAGTGTACACTTTACTGTAGTCTACTCTGTTCTACGCTCCTATATGGTACTCAAATGACATCGACAGCCCCACCCACCTACGTATATACCACAATAACACCTTTGCCATTGGGCTGTTCCAAAAAAAAATGTGGAGGGGGGGTGGAAGAGCTTGGATTTTCTATTTTCTGACCCCCCTTTCATTACTATCCGAGTACCTTGACCCCCTTTCATTTCATCCATATCCAGGTGTCTTGACCCCTTAAAAATGTTATCCAAACGACTTGACCCCCTATAATTTCATCCAAATCCAGGGTGGACCCCCTCTCAATCCAAAATCCACACCCACTAACCCCCTTAGGTAAAATCCGACCTCTTCCACCCCCCCTCCTCAGTTATTTTTTTGAACGGCCCATTTCAAAACAGAAAATTCCCAAAAGCCAATCGCGAGAACAGATTATCTTACCTTTGGATTTACTCCTACCAGTGATTTCAGATAAGTTGGAATCTCCTTCACATAGCTGTCAAAGACGAAGAACACTCTGGAATATATCAAATTGTTTCAAAACTGATCCTTGGCATACAGTGGCATATGAAGTGTTTTTCCTGCTTTCGACCTTACTGAGGGGCCTCAACAGAATATAGGTGGCTTCGGTAAACGTTATATATGCTTTGCTGTCAAAGCGATCAAATTTCTAAAATAAACCTAAGTTTAGCAAAAATAATTGAAGCTTGGCTCAATCTCTAAGTTAAATTGAGTTTGTCGATCAGTTCTAATGTTGGATGGAGAAAT